CACATTTCATAAATCACTTCACTTAAAATTTTAAAATATTCACCGTGCATTTAAATTGCCCATGTAGTGTAAAAAATGTTTGCACTTTGAAATATGTTCATACCATACAATAAAAATGTTCATGACATTTAAACCAGGGCTGTTCATAACCTTACTGCAAGACATAACAGTGTCTCGCCTTCAGCGATCCTGTGAACGGCCCAACAAGTGGTTTTCCTGTGTGTCAGGTAGCGTTGTTGTTTTTATTTTGCACGCTGGTTTCTTTAAGACCGGTGTGCTTTGCGTTGGTTTTCCTTTTTCTGTTCGGTTATTTTTTTGATTTTTGATTTCTGGCTTTTCCTTTTTTCGGTTTCTTTTCTTCTTCTTTTTCTTCCATGCTGGAGCTCTACCGAACAAACCCTTACATGAGTGTGTGCCACTACACCTCCCAACACGTGACTTTTCTCTTTCCTTTTCTTCATCCTCTAATATTATTCCATGACATCGCCTGCATCGCCCACTGGTGACCTTACTCCCGCTGCCCCGCCGCCCACCTTCCACCGTCCACCCGTGCAACTTCCTTTCTTCTGCTTCCTTCCGAAATCACCCTATCCTCCCAACTATGCCCATCACTGCCGTCGCCACTAGCCTCCACCATTACCCTGGCCGCCAGTGACCTTACCGCCCATGCACCATAGCCAAGCAGTTCTGCTCGTCGCTCTCACATAGCCAATGGCGGGTTGGCAACTCCTCATGGCAAGCAAAATCATAGGTTGCCTTCTCAAACCAGCTTGGTCTGAAAAGCATGCATCGCCAACGCATAGGCGTAGAACAAAGATTGTGCATGGGAAGAGGTGGCAGATCTGTCGAACTCGCAACTCCAGGCAAATAATCCCACACAAATATAGGCTGCATTTACACGGCAACAACAAAGCAATCCATATGGGCAGAGGATGATGCGAATTTATTTTCCACAATCATTTCCAGAAGGCTTGGAAAATTAAAATACACGCAGGAGTTCAGCTCATATATGAGTAAGGAAGGGAAACATACAAATCACTCTCAGCAAACATATATAGTGGTAGGCAGACAGAACAGAAAAAAGCACTGGTGCATAAACAAGGCACCGCCTTCCTAATGACAAACATGGGGCAAAAATGCATAAACATGCCACATGCCAAGGAGGAAGGGGTGTTTATTCCTAGATATACTAATTCACTCTGGATTCGATCTCTGTAGTATATACTCGTTGAAGGTTGAAGTAGTTCGTTGACAAAGCGTGGACGCAGTGTTGGCGTTTCAGGAGGATGGTGGAGGCCAGCTTGTGGAAGCGCCATCTAGCCGGGCGCCGCGGCACGCGTCAGACCTCATGTCTGATGGGTGATCTTGATCTGTTGGCTGTTTTTTCCCTGGCAGGGTTTGTGATACTAGTAAATAAATTTATTGGACCTTGGCAACATTAAGGTTTATCGACTTAAGAATTCTGACATGATTTTGCTAGAAACTATCTCTAGTAATCAATGGTACATATATCATAATTGCATATAAGAACACTAAAATATAAACAACATAATTAAGTCACAACGGTGGATGGGAGCAGCGACATTTGGGGGGCTGAACATGGCGCTAGGTAGTGTCTGTGCATGGGAACGTGGATAGGAGGAAGTGCAACTTGTGGCAATTTAGGGTTTAGGTAGTGTTTTAGGATGTGTGGGCCGTGTGGGAGTAATTTTGTCCTAAATGGCATGCCTCTGGGATGCATATGAAGACATTTAATTTTGATGATTACAGGAAATTTATCTTACCTGAACGGAAAAGGCGAAATTTCTTTCTTATTTTGCTCCATTTTTTCTGATCTTCTGAACCAGACCCTGCAAAATGAACGCAATGCATGTAAACAAATAACTGATATATACAGAGAGGAGTACATGAAAAGGAAATAGAGAATGAACAGGAAATGAGTAGACCGGGCTGGCACTAGCGTACCTTGTGAGAAGGCTCAAGGTCTTTCCAGGAGCGAATCCGAAAAATGTAATCCCACCCCATGTTGATGTCATTTGGTGCAGGCGGATTCAGCTGCCACTTGTGGATGCCGGCGTGATAGAGCATAGCCCAGAGATGGGTGATGAGCTCACCACCCTGCGAGAGTTGCTGCATGTGCTCCTCCACATTGTCCGATGGCGCGGCATACACCAACGCCTTGACCCAGAAGTCTGCCAGCACCTTCCACCTCTCAGCATCATCCATGCTTTGTAGTCCCTTTCCCAGCTTTACACCCATCCCATAGATGTAGTCTCCAACGTAAGCATCACCCAGATTTACATGAACGCTAATACCATCCTCGGCGCACTTTGTGTCCATTGCCTCTAGCTTGTCTCCTGCAGCAGCGGATGAGAACCTGAATCCAACCCTAGTTGCCTCTTCCCTAACCTGACCGTAGACCAAATTTATAGTCTCGGACCGCCCAGGAAGTAAGCGAGGCGCTGAAGCCACCAAGTATGCACAGTATTTGGACAGATCCATGGCCACACGACGATGATCCTTCTCCATAGTAACATGATGGCCACCGCCATTGCTGCTGTCACATTGCTGTGCCAGTTCACAGTAGCAAGTTGCAACATGCCAAATGAGGATACAAGACACGTAGATCATATCACTCACCTCAGCAGCATTATCTGCCGCATCATCTACCGTAAAGCTGAAAGAGAAGTCTGGAAAGCCACTCTGTCCATTTTCAACTTTGGAGGATGCCCAACTACTTATTTCATTGGACTTGATCTCATTGTCAACAAAGTCACCAATGGATGCCTTTACATCAGGGTGCAACTCAACGGCGCTCCCTGTGCAACTGCCCCGCAACATTTCCTTGAGCTCTCGGCTTATGTACTGCAGTCCAAGTAGACCAAAACACCTCTGGACTAGGGTATTTAGAAGCAAACAACATATCACTAAAATACACCGAATACCCGAAATACACCCGGCTTCCTGCACTGCGCTGCAGGAACAAATCCAGCTACAAAAGATCCCTATAAATTTGCAGCAGAATAACTGATGACAATGACTCAGACAGCCGTGCACCCTGATCCAAAAGGATTCATCAACCACAGCATGTTGCCCCAACTTATTTTGCCACAGGTAGTATTTGTCATACCAATTAATCTTGAGAAGAGATGCTCTCAATCTCATTCCCCAGCTAAGCACAACCTCTTCTTCAATGTTTTTCCTAGCATAATCACAGGCAAAGGCAACTCTGGCCCAATTCGAGGTCCAACAGCTTAGCAACTGCAACACCTGCAGTAGAGCTAGAGACACCAGTACTACTCCGGTAATAACAAAGTCCACTATTGTGGTGTCCACAAAGATGGTGTCAGGAGAAGCACGACGACTTGACCTTGCCCCAGGCATGACAGCCACTGCCCCTACAAAACATATCCCAATAACTGAAGCAAATGCCCATATGCTAGCACTCTTCGCCTCATAGTAATGGAGGAACGTGTTGCTGGTGTACAAAATATCATGTAGGAAAGCCAACTCAATCTCAACCACCTTTAAGGCACGTTTGCAGTTTTTTACCAAGGGCTGGGCAAGGCTGGCCTTGACTGGTTTAACGCTGCTTAACCCTAGAAAATGACGGTGCAACAAATGAGAGAGAGAGAAGGAGAGGCACACATCTTTGCAGGAATTTAGTTTTGATTCTAGCATCTTATTGTTTCCCTTACACCTCATGGAAGCTATAACACCCATGTTAATCTCCATACGATACCCAATCATTACGTCAAGTTTATCATCAACAGTTAACTCTCTTTCTTCATTAGGATCTCCAAAAGAACATTTTGTAATGCTATATCCTGGAAACTCTCTGATCATGTTCCGCATAGAACTTGGCAGCACAAGTGCCATTGACCTATGAAATCCCTTGATGAAAGTCACAGCAGACAAGACGCAGATGGCTATGCTACCAATATCACTAGAGATGGTTGTGATGCTCATTAGTAGGACATATCCAAAGTAGAGGCAAAGCTGATACAACATCTTCCAGAGCTGGTTCCTACTGTCGAGCCCGGATGAAGCAACTGAGTCAACACAACAAAGGAGGGCCAGTAACGATACTGCCCATATTGGGTACATCTCGCTCTTCACTCGCGAAGATTGCATTAGGCCAATGCTGTATGTTCCAAGGGACAGAAACAATGCATTTGCAGCCATGAAACCCTTCTGGATGAGAAAATTATTGGACCAACGGCGGCAAGACCCAAAGACAGAAAGGAAAAAGGAGAGGAAAATGGCCAGAAGTGCTAACGCCTCAATTCGGAGCACTGTCCCCCTAGGACTCTTCCACACATCTCTCAGCTGATGCAAAAGGCTTGCTACTGAAGTTGCATTTTCCAAGTGTTGCTGACCCATATTCCCCATTCGACGGTAGCCCACCTAGGAAGAACAAGAAGAAGAGGTGTGTCATAAAAGCTAGGCTCCCAATTTAGCTACAAATTGTTCTCATGAAGAGGGGGAAATATTAGACCAGTCTAGAATTACCTAGTCGACCTTTATATTCTAATAAAGAATACAAGATACAAATTGGTGATGTAATGAACTCAATCACTCAAGCCTAGGAGATAACAGGCAAACACCTCCAACCAATTGAGGCTACTCCCAGCTCTTAGCTTATGAATTACTTACTTCTCTATGGTTTTGTGATGTTAGCAATAATCTGATGTGGGGGTCATACTCCTTTTCTAAAAAAAGCAATAATCTGATGTGAGTATACATATGTGCATGTGTGTGTGGGTAGTCTGTTAGCCGCCAGGGGGCTCAGTGGCGCAGATAGTATGCACAAGGGCGCGCCGATGGCGCGCACAAACCAGGTGACGTGCGAGATGACGCATGTCGTGGGAAGCTCACTCTGTGCATGCTCATGGCCAGGGAAAAGATCATGTAGGTGTTGTAATTCATGTACTTTAGTTTTGCAAATCGAGTAAAAATAAGCTGCCGCTTTCAGTGCCCAAATCTTCGGCGTGCTCATCTGTTCTTTCTTGTTTGTGTCTGACAACAAAAAGTGTGGGAAATTGAGCTACAGAGAGAGGGAGAGAGAGGACATGTGATACATAAACCCAAATGATAACACCCACACTTGTGACACTTATCAACATGCCCACACACACTTGATGACGTTTGATCCATTTGCACAAATTTTGAAGCAGTTGCCGCCTGGACACGTAAGCGCCCAGCGTTGTGTGGGTGTTATCATTTGATGCCACACGTGTGGGTGCTCCTCGTCCGAATGGCACACATGATGCTCGCCCGAACGTGTGGGCGAAACGACGCTCACCCGGTGATAGACGGCAACTACATGTGACCACACGATGGCAACTAGTTAATCACACAACACAACTATGTTTGACCATACATGGCAACTATGATTTGACCACACGTGACAACTAGTTAATCACACATGGCAAATATGGTTTGATCACAGGTGGCAACTACCGTTAATTACATGTGGCAACTATAGTTAACTCGAACGAACCCCCCCAAAAAAACCAAAATTTGTCATCCAATCAGAGAAGTTGCAATGCTTTACAACTAAAGTTGCCATCTGGGAGTAACTAAAGTTGTAAAATGTTGGGGTGGAATTGCTTCGTGCTACACGTACGGGGTGGGGGTTTCAAGTTGTTGTTGGTTTGGCATGTGGCACGGAGTAGCTACGCGAAAGTGTGGACAGTTCTAATATTTGCCCACACAGGGGTCGTGTGGGCTGCCTGCTGGGTATGCCACACAGGGTCATGTGGTCAGATGAACATTATGCCACGCGTGTGGCTGTTATCGGTGTCCTACATAAAAGATTTTTAGAGGTGGCTGGGATGCCTGTGTAGAGGCGGCTGGCCTAGCTGTATCTACTATATCAATGATTTCTAGAGGTGGCTTCCCAAAGCCGTCTTTTGAAATAGATTTGTTGAGGTAGTTAGAAACAAGACCGCCTCCACAAATTAGATTTCTGGAGGCGGTTCAGAATCCTTGCCCCTAGAATTCGAATTTCAAGAATGACAAATCAAGCCTAAAAAAGGAAAAAAAATGTTTTTGATCCGAGGAGGCCCTCACCAGGCAGCCACATGGCCCAAGTCACGCGATGAAATACGTGGTCGTGCGGCTGTTCGGATCACTTATGACTAAAGTGCACAAACATTTCCTCGTATCACTTTACTCAATTTTGAAAATAGTATCCCCACGGTTTTTGTGCAAAAAAGAATTAGTATTTGGGACACTAAATGAAATCAAATAAAAAACATTGAACTGCAAGTTGTAGATACCATCGAGCACTAAAACTTTGGTTTTAGAGGTTTCTCCATCCGAGGTCATGTGAAAAAATTGAATTTTAAATTTGAGAAATTCAAACATTTTTTTCTTTGGATAAATGACTCCAAATGAAAAGGTGATCAACTACAAAATTGTATAGCTCTACAAGATCTACAACTTTGGTTTTTGTTGTTTCTATCATCCGAGGTCGTTTGAAAAATTCGAATTCCAATATGCAGGGAATATTCAAAATTGTATAGCTTTACGAGATCTACAACTTTGGTTTTTGTTCTTTCTATCATCCGAGGTCGTATGAAAAATTCGAATTCCAATATGCAGGGAATTCAAACTAAATTTTAGGACCATAGGCTATTTCAAATAAAAAAGTTCTCAACCGCAATTCTTTATATCTTTTCGATATCAGTAACATTGGATTTGTTCGTTTCTCCATCCAAGATTGTTTGAAAATTTCTTAAAACGTGAGAACTTCAGACACAATCTGCGAGAACTAAATGATTTCTGTTAGAGTTGTGTCGAATATTGTTGTACAAGGCAGGTTACAGTTGGACTTGGTTTTGAACTGTGTGTAGACAGGGTAGGAGTTGTGTCCTAATAGGGCACTTGTATCCTAGGCCTCTCTTATATAGCGGGGATAGACACAAGATGTAACCTATGCCAACATAATAGCACAGGTACGCGGGGAGCCGGTGGCGTGTGTCGGCGCCCGGGCGGCCGGGGTGTGGTATTGTAGCGGTGTCATGGGGAGGAACGCCCGTAGTCAAGCCCTGGGGATGTAGCCATATCGGTGAACCTCGTTAACAAATCTCGGTGTCGTGCCTCGTGTGATTGCTTGGTCCTCGGTACATTGATGGTGGCCTCGGATTTATTCTAACAATTGGTATCATGAGCAAGGTTCGAAGAGGCGATGGGAGTTGATCTAGAGGAAGAGAGTCGAAGGATTGATCGGGTCGATGTGAAAATCAGCGGCGAACTGCGAGTTGCCGGCGAGATTGATCGCGAGATCGACGTGGATTGAGATTCTTTCGGCCAGATAGAAGTAATCGGAAGGCAGCAGCGCGTGCGACAGATCGTGTGCAAGCGGCGACGGCAGCGGAGTCTCAGCGTCAGGCGCTGGCCAGATTGAGAGTTGTCGACCAGATCGATTCGGTGGGCGGCGCGTGCACGGATGCGAGGTGACGCGTGGCGCACGGCTTGGGGGCGTTGGCTGATCGATCGGTTGGGACTGTTGCTCGAGGGTGTGCGAGGGCATACAACCAAGGCCCAGGTGCCAGCAGCCAGGTGCGGAAGGGCAGCCCGCAGACCCAGATGCACGCCGTGGGGCTGGCCAGGTTGTGCCGTGAGGGAGCATGTGACAGCTGCTCGTCCAGGCGTGGTTTCGTGGCTGCTACAAGCGCGTGTGTACACGGGAGGCTGAGGAACGCACGGAACTACGGATATGCTGCGGTGACACGAGATGTTGTTGGAATAAAAAGCACGTATCATGGAGGCTAGAAGCAAATTAATCAACGAAGGAATGGGTAGCTTTGCATCTGGTAGCAGTACGTTGGCCGGAAAAGCAACATCAAGCGTAGGAGATTGTGCCAAGAGAAGCACCACCACGTGAAGACCGAAGGATGTTTCCTGGTTGGATTTTACGGCAGGAGTGGAGTAGCTCGGTTAGCATATCAGTGACGTTTCAAGGTGTTGCAGAGGCTAGGACAGCTAAGATGAAAGTATATGTGGATGAAAATTCGCGGAAGATGATTTGGGAGCCTAGAGAACGTCGTGCAAGGATCATGCATACACAGGGTGTTAAGCAATGCACGGAGAGGTGTGCAGGCGGACAGGACGCAGGGTGGAGCATGGTTGCAGTCGGATAACTTCGGCTGGGTTGGATTGGATAGTCTGATGGATCGACATGGATGTTGGTCAAAAGCAGAAGACGGCGGTGATTTCGGCGACGACGACATAGGAGCGTGATGCCGATGGTGGCCGACTTCTGGGGCGTGGAAACACGTGGTGCAGGCCTGAGGGCCTGTGCGGCTTCGACAAGACTAAGGCGCGGGGTTGATTCAAGGCAGTGTACACATGAGAGCTTGAAGTCGACAGGGCGCGGGGTAGCACGGCCAGCTATATGGAGTCATGTTGAAGGTGGAGCTGGAGTCTGATGGACGACTTCACTCGGAGCTGATGGAGGGGCTATGGTGTAAGATATCGGAGAATCGAAGCCTATTTCAGCGGGATAGCGAGAGACACGTGGATCGGACTGGGGCCCAATGGTCTGATGGAGACGTGATACTCGGCATCGGTCGGTGATGATCGGTGGTTCTCTGCAGTGGGGGTTGAGGCAGTGTGGGCTAGCTACCCGGGAGACTCGACCAGGACAGCAGAGGCTCGACGCGGTGATAGCGGCGAGGCGTGCGGTAAGCACGGGACACAGCGACAGTCCAAGGCACTAATGGTGAGACGTGTGGTCACACAAAGTGTGCAGGGGGTGCTGAAGCAGTGTTGACGAGTACCGGATTCAAGTTGGTGACTGGGTCTATCGGTGCTAGTTGATGGACATGAGTTGACCATGGAGAATCTGAGAAAGTGGTGGAAAGTCTGGATTTGTCAAAACAGAGAGAGTACATGGCCGTATATTCTGCGGTGTTCAATGCAAATGGCAAAGTGCGGATGACAAATACAGAAGGATGCGGAGTGCTATAGTTGTGGGACATGTCAGAGACTATCCGGGAAAAGGGTGAGACAACTGTGAATTTGACTCAGGGTGACACAGGGCGACGGTGAAATTTCTTCAAGTTTCAGACAGACGGTCATGAAAGAGCAGTGATGTTGAGTTCAAGTAACTCTTATATGTGGCGTCCAATATGCGAGTTGTTCATTTTCATGCAGATAGTGATCGGTGTGTGATGGTGTTGAACGGATTCTCCGAAAGTTGGGAGCACAAAGTAGAGTAATGAGGAACTTAATTTTGCTCGAGGGTTGACTGTGAAAAAGACGAGAAGGGACTACAGTTGCAGGTGGAGTCACATGGAGTCTGGGAGTAGGAGCGGTGCTCATGACGTATCAAAAGTCCAATGTACATGGAGGTTTGACGCACAGACGAATTCAAGGTGGTG